ACCAAGGTCGACCGACCAACTTTGGTCGGTCAAAACACCGACCAAAAAACCGACCAAAGTTGGTCGGTTTTTCAAAAATGGCGCAAAAATGCGAAAAACTATTTTTGAGTCCCGCAAAATTTATGTTTCAAGAAACCGACCAACTTTGGTCGGTTTTTCAATTAAAATAAATAAAAATTAATATTAAAAAAACCGACCAAAATTGATCGGTTAATTCGGCCGGTCATTTAAAAAAGCCGACCAACTTTGGTCGGTTTTTCAATTAAAATAAATAAAAATTAATATTAAAAAAACCGACCAAAATTGATCGGTTAATTCGGCCGGTCATTTAAAAAAGCCGACCAACTTTGGTCGGTTTTTCAATTAAAATAAATAAAAATTAATATTAAAAAAACCGACCAAAATTGATCGGTTAATTCGGCCGGTCATTTAAAAAAGCCGACCAACTTTGGTCGGTTATTTTCGTGCGAAAATACAATTAAAGAGTATAAATCAAATAAAAGACAGTCTTAAAACAAAATATACCAATGGTCTAGTGGTAGAATAGTATCCTGTCACAATACAGACCCTGGTTCAATTCCTAGATGGTGAATCATTTTATTACATAATTAAAATACCGACCAACTTTGGTCGTTTTTTTTTTTTTTGCAATATTTATTTTTTTTAATTTAATTGACCGACCAAAGTTGGTCGGTAATTTCCGACCAACTTTGGTCGGTATGCCTTTCCGACCACAAAAATACCGTCCACACGTAAATGGTCACGTTTTGATCGATTTTTGGCCATTACCGACCAACGTTAGTCGGTTTTTTTGGTCGGTTTTTACTGAATTTCTAGTAGTGTAGCTTCCGTATGATACCTGACCTTTTCGGTCCTAACAAGTGGTATTAGAGCTATCTCAACAAGTGGTATCGCCTTGTATCTAGGCGCAGAGGTATGGTTATCTTGCTTTATTCTGAATATCCATTTGTTAAATAAAGATATCTCAAAAACCACTCTTATGTGCTTTAGTCTTTCAAAGACTTGTACCAATGAGCATAGAATAATTCTTCAAGGTTGTCCTATTTATAGATAATGAGTGGTGCTTTCTCTTAAAGCCAAAACCAACTCTAAATAGGAATAAAAACCAAATCCAATTCCGAATAGGAATGGAAACCAAAAGAGAATAGGATTAGGCCATTGGGCCTTTGGCTGGACAACATGGACATGGACCCAACAAACTTTCCCTCCAACCAAGGGGCCAAATATGTCTTCAAGTAGAGGAACTATTGACAGGCTTCATGCCTGCCAATTTTCTGCAAAATTCATGTTTATCTGCAACCACCGCCTTTGTCAGCATATCCGAAGGATTTTTATCAGTGTGTATCTTCTCAACCTCAAATAATTTATCTTCCATGACTATTCTTATCCAATGATACTTTCTATTTATATGTTTAGTGTGTTGCTCTAGTGGTGAGCACCCTCCACTTCCAACTAAGAGGTTGTGAGTTCGAGTCACCCCAAGAGCAAGGTGAGGAGTTCTTGGAGGGAGGGAGCCGAGGGTCTATCGGAAACAGCCTCTCTACCCTAGGGTAGGGGTAAGGTCTGCGTACATACTACCCTCCCCAGACTCCACTAGTGGGATTATACTGGGTTGTTGTTGTTGTTGTTGTTGTAGTCTTAGAATGAAAAGTGGAGTGCTTGGTGAGACAGATACCACTCTGATTATCACAAAATAAGATGTACCTTGGCTGCTCAAAGCCAAGATCATTAATAAACTCCTTCATCCATAATAGTTCTTTGGCACCTTCTGTTATAGCAATATATTCGGCTTCTGTGGTGGATAAATCTATGCACTTCTGTAGTCTAGATTGCCAAGAAATAGCTCCCCCTGCAAAAGTGATCAAATAACCGGAAGTGGATCTTGAATTATCAAGATTGGCTCCTAAATCAGAGTCTGTGTAACAAACAAGTTCAGGCTTGCCATTGCCAATGCACAACTTCAAATCTGCAGTACCTTTCAAATACCTTAATATCCATTTTACTGCATCGCAATGTTCTTTTTCTGGATTAGAAAGGAATCTACTAACAGTACCAACGGCATCTGCAATATCTGGTCTAGTGCAAACCATAGCATACATCAAGCTACCAATGGCAGAAGAGTAAGGAATACGAGACATCTTCTTTTTCTCTTCATCAGTAGATTGACTCTGACTAATACTCAATTTGAAGTGTTTAGCAAGAGGAGTACTAACCACTTTTGTATCTGTCATATTGAACCTCTTGAGTACCTTCTCAATGTATTGCTTTTGGGACAAAAATAACTCATATTATCTCTATGTCGGTGGATTTGAATGCCCAAGATTGAGTTTGGTTTGCCAAAGATATTTCTTATGATCACCTGAGAGTTTTTGGTGTAAAGCTTGTGTTCATGTTCCTAAAGATGAGAGATCGAAATTGGATGTCAAAACTAAGCAGTGCGTCTTTATCGGTTATTGTCAAGATGAGTTTGGGTATAGTTTTTATGATCCAGTTGACAATAAACTTATTAGAAGTCGTGATGTAATATTCTTTGAAGACCAGACTATTGAAGATATTGACATAGATGAGAAGATAGATTCTCATAGTAATGAGAGCTTAGTTGATATTGATCCAGTTTCAATTGCTAAGGCACCTATTGCACATGAAGGAACCCAAGACAATAATGAAGATATTGATCAAGATCAAAATAATCATCATGGTGGAGATGTTATGGATGCTCCAGTTAATGAAGTTGTGGTTGATCAGCAACCAATTCCTGCTCGGGTAACTATTTCGAATGCTCCTGCAACCTCTCTTAGAAGATCTACAAGGGAGAAGCAAAAATCTATGCGCTATCCTCCTTATGAGTTTGTACTTTTGACTGACATGTGAGAACCTGAGAATTATGATGAAGCCATGTAATATACTCATAAAGATCAGTGGATCGAAGCCATGGAAGATGAGATGAAGTCACTCCATAAGAATGGCATATATGAGTTAGTGAAATTGCCGAAAGGTAAGAGAGCTTTATCTAACAAATAGATATTCAGAATAAAGCAAGATAACCATACCTCTGCGCCTAGATACAAGGCGAGGTTAGTTGTTAAAGGTTTTGGCCAAAAGAAGGGAGTTGACTTTGATGACGTGTTGTGAAGATGTCTTCTATTCGTGTGATTCTAGGCTTAACCGCGGGTCTAGATTTAGAGGTTGAGCAGATAGATGTCAAGACTGATTTTCTTCATGGTGATTTAGATGAGGAGATTTATATGGAGCAACCTGAGGGTTTTGTAACTAAGGGAAAAGAAAATTATGTCTGCAAATTGAAAATGAGCTTGTATGGGTTAAAACAAGCTCTAAAGCAATGGTATTTGAAGTTTGAATCTGTCATAGAAGAACAAGGGTACAAGAAAACTTCTTCTGACCACTGTGTACTCTTCTAGAAGTTATCTGATGATGATTTTATTATCTTATTGCTTTACGTGGATGATATGCTTATTGTTGGAAAGAATAAATTCAGAATTACAGTCCTTAAGAAGCAGTTGAGCAAATTGTTTGCGATGAAGGACTTGGGGCCAGCAAAGAAAAACTGGACAAACACCTAATAATTCTCCCCCTTGGCCTGAATTTTCTGACAAAATAAACTTGATCCAACTTCTTCACATAGCCTTCAACATGTCGCATCTCCAAATCTTCACCACAAAGTTTGTCTCAACGTGTGTAGCACACCGGTAAAATTTCTCAGACAAAAATCATGATTTATCGTCGTTCAAGGTTTGATTACTAGCTTCCGCATGACACCTGCTTTTTTTGGTCCTAACGGTTTTTGAGAGAGCTTTCATCAAGAGAGAAGAAAAGTATTCATTTTGCTGCAGATTTTATTCCGACCAGCCAACTTCAAATCCCGTTTATCGATTCGTTAACCATTGGATCAGGCTGACATTTTGACTGAGTGTTCATAACGTCTTGATCAAAGAACGGTGGAGATCGGATTTTGTGGCCTGTAGCATCTGATTTCGTGCCCCGAACAACAGCTCCAGTTTTGTGACTTCTCCTCTTTCTTCAATTGATTTGTCGTTGCTATTGTTGCTCCGTGTTTGGCACTTGTTGTGTAGTCAATTTGGAGAATTTTTGTAAGCCTTTTATTGTTATAGTGGAGTTTTTTGCATCTTTGTGTTCTCGTGATTTTTACCTTCGATTTGAAAGATTTTTCACGTTAAAATTTGGTGTTCTATATCTTCTTTATTTTCGGGTTTGCCTCTTCCTCAACATAATAGGGATCTCTTAATGATGTGAGGCCTTTTGAAAAAATCAGGTGGACTTTTGATCCAAAGCGTACAATAGCACACTATGTTAAAAAATATTTTTGGGCTGATTTAGCCCAACAAAAACTATTATTAGCATAGAGGAACTAATTTCTTCTGACACCTATAGCAAATAAACAAATTTTTTTTGTTTGTTTGTTATCATTGTCGATGATTTTAGTGTTTCGCCTAGTGACTTCTCCTTTTCCACATTTTGTGAGTTTGTGATGGTCATGGAGGACGCATTAAAAAATAATGTAATAATAATACTCTTTCAATTCTTCCTTATTAGTCCTGTCCGGAAAGAGTAATATATTTTTGTATTTATAAACAATTTAACTTTAAATGTTTTATTTATTCATTTTACCAAAAGCGTTTATCGTCATACAAATGATTATGGAATGTTTAAGACAACAAGTGTCAAATGTCTTATAGCTATGTAAATATTATAGTATATTTAAGATCGCAAATTTTAAAAGTTTCATTTTTTTTTTAGTGTTAAGTCAAACTATTGAAATGAAGAGGGAGTATATGACAAAATGGCCAGCCTTGCAAGTGGTACTAAACAACAAAGAGTCATGCATGCACATTAAATTATTCATGTTCTTTTCTTGAGAAGATATAGCAATATGCTAACTGGCAAACTGTACAATTTCTCTTTCCCCCAGCTAGCCTGCTTCCTTATGATCTAGCTTGCCCTTTTGTTAAGGGGACCATTTATTTTCTATCCAGCAAAGGAATCCACAGCTGTGTAGCTCACACTAAAGCTAAAAGCTATACCTAAAGTGAGAGAAAACTTCCAAACAAGAGTTGAAAATCCGATCATCAAAAAAGTTTTCCAAGAAAAAGCACTCAACTCAAAGCCTGTGATTTTGTTATAACCATATCTTCATGTGATCAACTTTCAAAAGGCTCAATAAATGTCTTGCCAAATTGCACTTGAATGCCTATAAAAAGGCCAGCCCTTCCTCATTTCAATCATATAATTCTAAACCCCCAAGAAAACATGAAGTTTTTCACATTAGTTTTCATTGCCATTCTCCTTATACAGGTAATTTTCAGATTGATATAACACATATACACTTTTGTTTAGTTGTGATGCAATTTCTAGGTTTCAAACTAGCCTAACCTAAACTTCTAATTTAATTTTAGGTTTTCACTGAGGCTGTTTCCATTAACAATGCCGAAGATACTGCTGCACAGGTATAAATGTAGTAAATTTATGACAATTTTCTTCCGAACCCTACTATATAAGTTGTCCTTCAGAACAAAAAAAAAAACATGCCTTGCTAACCTGCAAATTAAAATATGTACCTGACCTGTTATATAACCGATAAAAAATACATTGATAATGTAATAAGTTTTTGATAGTATATATAATTTAAGTAACATTTTTCTGCACCTCATCTCTTCAAAATATTTAGCTAGCACAGTTCAATTGCACTAATGTGGGCTGTAGTGTCTCTACCATGGAAGTTCACTATGGTGGGTTTTCTTTTATTACGAATTGACTTTTTCATGCACGTAAATCGGCAGCAAAACTTCTTCTTGAGATTATGATTTTGCATACAGTTGTATAGATTCATCTATCATTATTAGAAAATAAAAGAATGCAAACGTTGATAAGTAACAATTTGTATTATGCAGATAGAGAAAGCAGGAAATGATGGGGCTCTTTTCAAGAAAAGTCATCATCACCCAATCAGGAAGATCAGTAAGAACTACAAAATCTCTCTACTAAATTTTCTTACTTGAACTTTTATAAGGTTCTCCTTATCGCCTCATCGATTATATAGATATGATACAACGAATGAGTGAGAGTGAGCCATGTACGTTAGGCCCTATATATAGTCGCATATGTTCGAAAATTTCGTGTCCAAGTTGTTGCAATAATACAATTACCAATGTTCACTACACCACCGAGAAGTGTGATGAGATGATTATGATATCTTCATCTTAATCAAGATGTTCGGAGTTCAAGTCACGAAAATTAAAAACTTCATTCTTGATAGAGAGCACTAGTTTACCTCCTTAGTGGGCCAATAATAATCCGAATTAGCAGGATAAGTAGGTTCTAGATACCGGATAGTTAAACCAAAAAACATAATATATATACTTCCCAATATTGATTTGTTAAGTTTAGATATTGAATTCGCCAATAATTATTAAACTAAATAGTATTACTTTGAAATTGATGAAATGAAACAGACTGTGGGTATGCATGTGCAAGGAGATGCAGGAAGTCATCAAGGAAGAATGTGTGTAAAAGGGCATGCAAGTCGTGTTGTGCAAGATGTCATTGTGTTCCACGTGGCACTTATGGTAACAAGGAAGCTTGCCCCTGCTATGCTAGGCTTAAGACTCATGGCAACAGGCCTAAATGCCCTTAATCAATTAGACACTAATAATTTGTTTGAGAATTAAAAACTGCATTTTAATTTCTTAAATATATGCTTATGCTTTTATCCTTTAATATTTGGGTCAGAGGGAATAAAATGATGAGAGAAATTGCTGCATGAGTATGCGGGCTTTGGTATTTGTTTATTGACTCTTTATTTAATTTGCTGTGAGATCGATAAAATACATACATATATATGTATTTTTGGGAATAAAGTTTATTGATTCCTTTTGCTTTTGTTTTTTTTCCTTTCCCTTTATATCCAGATTTCTATCTTTTGTACCTTTCTTGATATGCTTATCCAAATCTGTTCAACGTTATAAGTGTATAAACCACTATGAACTTATTACTTCATCCGTTAAAATTTGTGGTCTTAAAGGATAAAAGTTTTGTCGGGCGAATGACATTTGTGTGACGGCAAAAACTTCTCAATAAGGATAAAATAAATTAAATAAAGAATTTAAGATTTAAATTATTTTCATATATAAAAATATATTATGTTTTTTGGAACATATTAATAAGAAAAATGTGTCATATAAATTAGGAATACTAAAACATATCCTTCCATCCCATAACTTTTTCTCTTTTCGTTTTTCGATGTTTTGTATCTTGTACTAGTAGTTTCATCTCTTTTTTCACATTTTGAAGTTTGATGTTTAATTTAAATATCGAAGTTTGATTTTTAATTTAAGGATTGACTATATTGGGTTTTTTTCTTCTTTTTTTTTTTTTTTTTTTTTTTTTTT